TAATCCTAAATGTTGTAAACGTGTAGACCTGAAATATTGTGAACATAATGATATTTGAGATGCTTTATTTAGTTTTCTGTTTTTGTTTTTGATAAAAAATTCCCTTTTATTTTTATTTGTATTTTATTATTCACATTTTTTCAGCTGATACTTTGACCATGTAATAATGAGAAAAGTATAAAATATGTGATTGTCATTATGATTAAAAATATTGTCACAAAATATAGTTTTCCAAAAGTGATAACATTTACTGGTTACTTTTCACTCATTTGTACTATAAATATCTGTTGATTAATTTTTCTTTGCAGAATTGTTGGTGGTTTGGAAACTTTAAGTGCCATGGAGGCTATTGAGACTGATCGAAAAGACAGACCAAAAGAAGAAATAAAAATAGACACAATATCAGTCTTTGTTAATCCTTTTGATGAAGTTAATGCAGAGGTAATTTATTTTAGTTTATATGGATTCTTGGTTGGCTATCACAAATAAAAACAAAAAAAACATTGTGCTTTTGTTTTTATTCTCCAAAGCATGTGTATTCACCCATTTCTTAACATGTATCGCGCACTCTTTTCATTCAATGAAATGACTTTACTTTAATATAGGAAAAGTATTTACTACTATATAATAGTTAGCTAATTTGTATGATTAGTCAATTTTCAGCTTTTCCACTGATATCTCAAGTACTAATCATCACATTTCAAAATAACTTGATACATAGATGCACTAGGACAATGCACATACCTGCTCAATTTGGGGTTATTATTAGTCCGAAAACGGGGACTATTAATTTGGGTTTGTTCCAATCGTCGTTCATCCGTACGTACGTCCGAAGCTATATCTCGGACACCCATTGACGGATTTCATTCAGACTTTACATGAAGACAATACATAATGTCTTACATATGCGCGTAACATAAGTTACTTTATGATCCAAGAAAAAATGGCCTACTGGTGGCCATTTTGGATGTAAAATTTGCTATTTCTGATACCTAACATGTCCGCAGCAGTTTCTCGGAGATGACTGGGCTGATTTGAATCAAAGTTGGTATGGTAATCATACATATTGGGTTGTAGGTGCACGTCATTTTTTTTTCATGATTCGAACAAATATGGCCGACTGGCAGGCATCTTGTTTTTCATGGTACCCATGCTACTTTATCTTGAATGCAATGAACATTTCTGTTTAAATTTTGTACAAAGATAGTATACCAAGAGATACATCTGCACCAACATTATTTTTGTGATTCATTTCAATATGGCTGGCTGACACCCAATTTTTATGTAAAAGCACTGTTTCTCAGAGATGACTAGGCCAATTTCCATCAAAGTTGGTATGATGATCATACATATTGGGTTATAGTTGCATGTCATATTTTTTCTATGATTCAAACTAATATGGCTGACTGGTGGCCATTTTGTTTTTCATGGTACCCATGTCTACTTTTCCATGAATACAAAGAACAGTTCTGTTTAAATTTTGTACAAAGAAAGTATACAAATAGACACATCAACATGAACATTATTTTTGTAATTTGATTCAATATGACTGCCCAATGTCCAATTCTCGTGTAAAAGCACTAAATCATAATTTTTAGCTCCGCTGTCGACTTTGTCGAGCGGAGCTTATCATATGAGTGATTGTCCGTCGTCGTCATCCGTCGTCCATGTCAATGTTTTACTTTTTCGACTTCTTCTTGAAAACTACAAGCCTGAATGCTTTGATACTTGGTGTATATGTACCTTGGGTAGACCTCTCAGATTTGTTCATTTTGTGATGATATCTTCAATTCTCTAATTTTGGTGAATATTTTTGTCATTTTTGGTAAAAAGTGATATTTTCGACTTCTTGTTAAAAACCGCAAGTGCAATTGCTTTGATATTACATATATAGGTACTACATGTGGACCTCTCTCAGATTTGTTCATTTTGTAATGATATCTTTAATTCTCTAATTTTGGTGAATATTTTTGTCATTTTTGGTAAAAAGTGATATTTTCGACTTCTTGTTAAAAACCGCAAGTCCAATTGCTTTGATACTACATATATAGGTACTACATGTGGACCTCTCTCAGATTTGTTCATTTCGTGATGATATCTTCAATTCTCTAATTTTGGTGAATATTTTTGTAATTTTTGGTAAAAAGTGATATTTTCGACTTCTTGTTAAAAACCAAAAGTTCAATTGCTTTGATATTACATATATAGATACTACATGTAGACCTTTCTCAGATTTGTTCATTTTGTGATGATATCTTCAGTTCTCTAATTTTGGTGAATATTTTTGTCATTTTTGGTAAAAAGTGATATTTTCGACTTCTTGTTGAAAACTGTAAGTCCGATTGCTTTGATATTACATATATAGGTACTACATGTGGACCTCTCTCAGATTTGTTTGTTTTGTGATGATACCTTCAATTCTCTATTTATTTTGGTGAATATTTTTGTAATTTTTGGTAAAAAGTGATATTTTCGACTTCTTGTTAAAAACTGTAAGTCCGATTGCTTTGATACTATTCATATTGTTCATTTTCTAATGATGTCTTCAGTTCTTTAATTGAAATGTGCATTGCTAACAGCGGAGCTATCTCAGCCGATAGGCTGCTTGTTTATAAATCCAACTCCTATTAATGGTTTCAATCTAATCTAATCAGCATCAAATTGATATGTCAGATCACAAAATTTTGTACGGGGACTGTGTCATTTAACAATGACTTGTTTCTACATAATTTGCATAATAATTTAATCAGTTTTCAAGTATTAATCATCTCATTTCAATGAAACCTGGTACATAAATGCTTCAAGACAATACAAGGACCTCATTAGTTCCATATTTATTACCTAATCGCATAATCATTAAATTTTTGGCTTTTCCACCGATTTTTTAAGAATTAATCATCAGAGTTCAGACTGCAACCCACAGATAAAATCAAATATATTTTCTGTATGTATTATAAACTACAATAATGTGGATCACATTGTTTCCACATTGTACATCTCAACTAGCTGACAAATATCAGTTGCCAAGCTTCTTGTTTGAAAAACTAATCTCAAATTTTTCATTTTGAAATGTGCTTCCAATACTCAGCACATGGGAGTTTTTTTTGATTTAATCTTCATCCAACCAAAGATTTATACATTTTGGTAAGACACGATGGGGTGACAGGCGATGAAGATCTCGCATAAATTGAGAAATTGACTTGAATTGTGAGATGATTAGAAAATTTCAAGACAGACATAGATTTATACAAATGAGTAATTATGTGAAAAAAATGGCTAGTGTTCGTCTTACTTTAATAGGCTGTTTCTGTTATGTCCTTGCTTATTCACAAAGCTTGTATTTTTTTTTTTTAATACAGCAATAATCTCACTCTCATTTCTGTGAATACAATACGGTAAACTTTCTCAAGCGTCCACTGTGATGCCATTGCATATGTTAAATTTACATGCGCTTAGATCTTGTGCGATCATTATCTCATATCACTGTACATAAATATCAATAATTTATACTCTTATCTTATGAATTCTTCATCCAACATTTTTTGATTTTCAGCTGAAGAAAGAAAGGGAAAAAGACAAGAGAACTCAAGAAGCTGCCAGGAATAAACCTTCTTCTACCGTATCAGTGGCTCCCAAATCTGATGTACCACCTACAGTCTACAGAGCAGGTGTTGGCAAATACATATCTGCTGCTACTGCCAGGTGATATCATCTATTACATGGTGCAATGAGTACTTGTGTGCTAACTTTCAAATGAATAAGACAATATATTAGAGGAATCAGCTCAAACATAAAAACAATGTGGCTGCTAATTTTCTGAATCTTGAAAAAAATGTGCACCTGTAACCTAATATGCATGATGATCATACAAAGTTTGAATGAAATTGCCCGGTTTATTCTCAAGAAATGGTTCCAGATGCGTTTAAGTATCGGCAAAGTTAATGACCAAAATGGTCGCCAGTCAGCCATATTTGATCAAATAATAATGAAAATCTACATGCATATATAATTCATCATACATGGTTGTTGTGTTAAATTTGAATGAGATCAATCAAAGCATGCACACACAAAACCAAAATTTATAATCCCCGATTTCAGACTTTGTTCAAAAAAGGGAACAATAAACTATGAAAAATAACGTTGACTTGGATTTAATTTTTTTTTTTCTATCAACATTATTTAATATCACAACTACAATTGATAAGTTTAACCTTTATTAGATAATTCTTTTGAGTACATACATTAAAGATTAGTTTAGATTGACAAAATCTAAAATCTGATGTGTTTGATGATGAGAATTAAAACCTTTTTGTTGACTTAATATTGCTTGATTCACATAATTCATGTAAACATGCGTCTCACAAAGCTGCTTACAGTGTTTCATTATCTTCACAGTGCCAGCAAGAAGTCAACAGAAGAAGAATCTACAAAATCCCAATCTAAGAAGAAGTCAAAAGGTGGATTTGGTGATTTCAGCTCATGGTAGAAGACTTTAAAACACTGTCAGGAGCATGTCTTAGCTTGTTTCATTGGCTCCCAGCATCCATGGCTTATGTACATCAGATCAGAACCATTGTAGGATTACAGAATATACATGCCTTAAATAAAGGCCCTGATGATTGTCCCTGGGAGTGATGTTTTATACCCCAAGACTATTCTGATAAACATTATGAGCTATTTGGTCATCGTTATTTTCACTGTCACCAGAAAACTGTATGTAAAATGTGAAATTATTGCTAGCAGAAATGTTTGGATGATTTGATAACCCTGGCAATTGACTAAGTCATGTGACTTCTTTTCTAAAAATTTCACTTCACTTTCCTTTTCTGTTAATAATAGTGTAAGCTGCTTTGATATCAGAAATTTTTCATGAATCATGGAAATATTGACAGCATTGAAGATTTCTCTGAGGTCTTTGAATCGGTGTCAAAGTAAACTGATCAGGAAAACCGCTCTCTCTATCATTCTCTCTTGCAATATTCCTAGAAACATTGACAGCAGTGTTAATGACTTTGCCTGCACCGATAGGAATGTAAGAACACAATTGCATATTAAAAGCCCCACTATAATAATAATAATAATAATTGTTTATTGCATCTTTAGAAATGTACATTTCATTCAGTACATGTATATAGCAATAAAAATATTAATCAATCCAAAAAAATACAAAAATATGTATGACAAAGGTTATGTATGAACAAATGATAATTCTGTGTTAAAATGTAGAATAATTGTAGGATTCAATAATTCCCTATTGTGATATTTCAATCAAAATCTGACTTCATTTTAAATACATGAAAATGGTTTTGTGCAGGAGCACTTGCTTGTTGAAATTGAAACTGCTGAGGCCAAACAACACCTCTTCTGAATATCACAGGAATGTTGCAAGGAAAATTGATCGAGATTGTGGTTTTTCTAATCAGTTTATTTTGGCGCTTACTGTAGGGTAATGAGTCACAGTGACTTTTGCTAGATTTTGAAAAATTATCTCACAAAACCCATGGCCAGTGTGTTGTGTCCTACACAGTCCACAACATCAATATAAATGAATAACCCAATCTATCGGTCATTCAGTTTAATAGTAGTCAAATACGCAGAGATCAGTACCGTAGCAGCTATGTATGTACTATTTTAAGCCTTCCATCTGGTTTTCGACAATAACGATCTGCTTTGTACCAATGTTTCTATCTGTTTTGTGAGATTCGATCGTGGCATGTATGTGTCCCACCCAATGAACAAATTTAAGTTGCATTCTGATGTGTCAGGTACCATCCCCTTTGGCTTCGTTTATTGAAGTCATATCTCTGTCATTTATGTGAGTGCTACTAATTCTCGGGGGCGGACATCTGGGCATTTTCATTGCCTGGCAACCATTACAGTGAAAACAAAGGCCGAAAAGTCTCAGAAAACGGCACTTTTGGTTGTTTAGACTCCCTTGAACAGTGTAACAAGATTACCCCCGCGTGTGCAACATACATGTATATAAATTCGGTTGTTCAGGATTACGATACTTCAAAGTTTAGTTTGTGTTGTTTTCTCGAATTTATCTATTTTCACCGACTCCTCAATTGGTGTTCCACACAGAGCCCATAGAAATACGTGGTACACGTCTTAGCAACGTGGAACGTCTTGTAATGTAGCTCCACCCCTGAGGATAGAGCAAATATGATACATTATTGCTTTGTTGATGAAAACAGATCCACAATCTGCTTATAGGGATTTGAACACTTATTCCAGCCATGCCATTTCACCTTGTCAGTCAAGTTGTGCCTTTAACAATGACTAAATTCTAGTTTGTCGTAAGGGTGCAATCCATGCATAACTGTAACTACAGTAAGGTCCAATTCTACTCGTTGGTAGTACATGTGGTAATTATCCCAAAGGTGAAAAGTAGAGAGAGAGAGAGAGAGAGAGAGGGGTAGTCAATTTATTTATCATTACTAGTTAGATATGTAGCTTTTGCACTGTAAAATTTTTAACTTGTATTTTTTGTCCATTCGTATTAATAATAAAAATAAATATTCATATATATATATATATATATACTGCCAGGGATTTTTTTTTAAACAAGGGTGCAGCGCCCTCATGCCATGGTCATGCGCCCCCTTACCCTGGGGAGCAGATCCTCTGGCAACCATCAAATTCTGATTGACCAGGAATCACATGTGGCTACAGTCTTCAACTGTGACCTGTCTGATAGTAATTTTGGCCCCAAGGAACCTATAGAATGTTCCATTTTAACTTAGAATTATCAAAAACTCCACACCTTGATAGGGAAAACCCTATCTCCCCTACTTAGTGGCACCCCTGAATTGCAGTGCTCCATCTTGCATTTTTTTTCTAGAAAAGACCCTGTACTACTGTTATATTTTCTTCAGAAACCTTGGAATTGAAAGCTTTGTGTACAGATTTTCAAACTGTTCCTAAACTACAAGGTTGATCATCTGGAATGAGTACTGATGTTAACGGTAACTTTCAACAACACATTATCATCCATGTCCTGACCAGGTGACTTGCAAGAAATTTGAAAACTTATATGACGGCAAATAGTTCTAGTCGTGTTATTTTAAGTTTAGTTTCAGGGTGGTAACAAATACTGTGGGAAAATATGTTTCATCAAATCCTCCATCAATGCAATGATCCTATTTATGTGACATTTATTTTTGATTGTCTATAAACTTGTATGCAAGCTTGTATACAAGCTATCTACAGTTGTATCAATCAATACATGAATCCTCAATATTACTATGGAACTTTCTTGTCTACATTCATATTGCAATATTTTTTGTACAAATTCACAAGTCAAGTCAGTGTTGTCATGCATGCATTGGTATATACTTCTTTAAGTGTACACGGTTGTGACAAAAAGATGCGATGTATTGGTTGTATGAAAATCATAACAAAAACATGAATAATGATGATGTGATTTTTATTTGCTGTAAAAACATCCTCCCAAGTTCACTAACAAAGGAATTACAGTTGCCAATAGTTAAGTACAGATTTTGACTGAGACAGTGAGGGGGATTATCAAACTATCAGTTTACCACAACCTTGGCTCTTTGCATGTAAAGTTTAGGAAACTTTCCCTGCACTTTGGTTTTCTGATAAAGGCACTTTCTGGTGGCCTTCTTAGCACACTGTCCATGTTCAGAGATACTTCCTGCATAAATCTGTTGCGAGTTTGAATAAAACTTTGAAGTTGGTGAATTGTTTGTCACACTTTGACACTGTTTTTCCCTCACCTGCCTGGCTTTATAGTTTAGAAATACATCCTGGGTTTTGCTCGGTAGTTGCGAATTGTTGCTTTTTAACTGCACTAGTGTCACCTTAGTCTTGGCTTTATTTTTATTTTGTACATCTTCGTTGTTTTTTTTTGAGTACGTGTACCTAAATGTAGTGGTGTTGGCTTCATCTCCTTTCTGTTTCAGTAATGGTGGAAGTATGCTTCCCTTATGTTGATTGGGTGCGCCGATGACTTTACTTTGTGAAACAGGTCCTTTCCCTTTAACTGAACCAATCATCTTAGATAACTGCTCCTGGGTTTTTGGTCTCAACAGATCTCTGTATTGCCCATATAACACAGGTATTCCAAGTAGCTTGCGTCTCATTTCACGTCGCTTTCTTTCTCTCAATTTTTCTTGTTCTGTTTCGTTCTTTTCTTTCTTCTCTTTGACTTCTGCTTTCTGGTAAATGTTTTTCACTAGGAAACTTTCACCAGCTGCTTTGGTATCCATTATGTTTTGATCACAGAGCTTACTTGCTTGTTTTTTCTTTTCTGCTAACAATTTTGTCATTATGACTCTCGTTTTGGGTTTTGATGCTACTACCTTCTCCATTTTGACAGGTTTTTCTTTTGGGTGAGATGGATTTAGAATAGGCGTACACCGGAGTGCTTTTTCACTGTTCAATACAAACTCATGATAGTGTGCAATATTGGTTTTTTCGGCATTTGTAGCTAAAATAAAAAAAAAAATGTTTATTAACATCTCAATACAAAGAGAAAGAAACATTGGGCGGCAATAAGGACAACTTATTAATTTCTGGTACTATATGCACAAATCCAAGATGCCTTCACAGTTATGTTTGCATCCAAAATATTTTTATTCAATAATAAATCATACTAAATTGTTCTGCTCAAGATGCAATATAAAACAATCATTTAACATACTCAAAAATCCTCTCTAAAGTTATCGACGTTTCCTCTTTAACCACTCAAACCTCAGTGTTATTGCAATAATATTTTAAAACAGGTTGCAATAAGTGAGGTGAGTCAACATTTAATGTACATGATGTGATAACAAAAATGTAAAATGAAACATTAATGCAGATCAAGAAACAATGCATTGAAAAGTGGCTTTAAAGCGCGGTGGTTGTCGCGCAGTGAGTGTTCGAATTTTATGTAAATAAACAACTTATTTTACATGCGTTGTATACGTCGCTATGAGTCTCATATCGAACAGGACGCAGCACGACGACTGCCGCCCTTTAAATAAGAATATGGCTTTCAAGAAAGGAGAGTGCCCTCACACACTGACACCCTACAATGAACATACCGAAATAGATGAACAAAAACCAAACTATACCTGGTGAGTTTGTGACTCTTTTCTTTGGACTTCGTGGAGCTCTAAACATAGAGAAACTTGGTGTTTTTGTAACCAGATTCTCTCCATTACTTTCAAGATACTCGTCAATATCTATTTCTTCTTCGTCGTCATCTTCAATATCCTCAATGCTAATATCTTCATTTGATTGATTTTGGAGTATTGCACATCGAATTTTCTACGAATGTAATTGGTAAAATAATATTATGAAGTAGTATTACAATGTACAGTTTTACTGCTCGTCAAAGTCAAAAACAACATTTGTCAGCCAAAATAACAAAACTACTGTAAAACGTGTCTTTTTCTCGAATTTAGCGAGAGAACTGATTCGCTAATTTAAGATGTCGCTAATGATTTTATTATCAATTCAAAATGGCCGCCAAACATTGAAATCAACAATGACAAGAGAGATTCGCTAAATTAACATTACGCTATTATGTCATTTTACCACAATTTGCTAAAATTGCATGCCGCTTTTTCAACATGTTTTACAGTTTCAATAAAAATTTTCACAAAATGAACAAATCTGGTAGAACTAGAAATATCAACCCTATTACGCAGGTCATTTTCAAGAAAAAGTTGAAAATCAAATTTTTCCTGGATGGATGACGACGCCCGTATAAAAACAGTTTGACCATAGCTAAACAGAAGAGTTAACAAGTTCTGAACACATGCAGAAAAGTTGATAAAATACCTTGATTCTGTCATTTCTGGGATTGTTTTTCATCAACCATGGATGGCGTAGGATTTCATGCGCTTTTAGTCTGGCTAGTGGTTTGACTCTAAGAAGACGACAAACAAGATCCTGACATTCTGAAAATACAATAAAAATACACAAACATAGATTATTTTCAAGAATTTACTCACAGCTAGGCAAGGAGTTACTTTGCTCATCTTCTGATCATATCATACTTGGACGTGGCGTCCTTTTTCTTTTTTTCTTGTTATCTTGATAAAAATGAACTCACCGTTTGTAATCCAAGGCTTAAATTCTAATTTTTGTTTTGTTTGTTCGATTAATGATTTCAAGTTGTTATCGCTGAACGGAAGTTTACCATTCACCATAGCAAACAGAATAATACCTCTGTCAATGAAAAAAGTGAAATTAAGATATGTGTATGAATTACAACTGTTCATCTGCCAAGGATCGAGGCACATCTCATAGTAGAAGGTTTTTGTGGCCACAAATAAATCCCCTTATTATCTGCTGTGTGTGAAATTGTCTTGATTACAAGATCTTATGAAAAATAGAACTGAAATAATCATAGAACAGTGCAACCCCCAACTGTGTTACTTTGCTATGATTTGTTGTGAATCCTAAGATAGTTTATGACCCTTGAGAAATTATTTCGCAATGGTATACACAAGTCTGTAAATACTTTAGTTTTTCTTCACTGTTTAATGTTTCACAATTTTTAGTGACGTCATTTATAACAGATGCTATTGCCTAGAGCATCAAAACAGGGAAATTACATTTCAGTTAAATTTGATATATCACTTACAGACTCCATATATCAGTCAGTTTTCCATCGTAATGCGTCGCTGTTAATATTTCCGGTGCTGCATATGCGTATGAGCCACAAAAGGTCTTCAGTAGATGAGACTTGTTGTTTGGAATGCGAGTAGCAAATCCAAAATCTACAAAACAAGTAACAATACAATTATATAAAAATATAAAAGTTTTATTCATCGTCTTTCCAACATTCATAAATAATAAAAAAATTATTGGTTTTAGATGCACAGCTGCATGCTGGGATACCATACATATTTACTTGTTGATGACAATTTTTGTTACATTTAAAAAAATAAACCTGTATAATCTTTTCCTGATTTTTTTTTTTTTTTATTTTGATCAAGACCTGCGGCCAATAAAAAATTAATTAGAAAGTCAATTTGGTCCAAAATTAATGAATAAACAAAAAAAATGCGTCAAAATTATATAATTGCATTTTTGCACAAAAATGATGGTGTACTAACACATTGTGTCTTATTGCTTCCGTACTGCAGTGTTGTTCACACATAAATAAAACAAGCAATGGAAAACAGTTGTTTTCATCACCAATAGTAAGAGAGAGAAGCTTTTATAATGTAATATATACCTGTAATTTTTATATTCTTATATTCATCCAGTAAAATATTTTCACATTTCAAATCCCTGGAAAATAAAATAATTTTATTTCATTTGTCGTTGTGTAACATTGCATGTTGCCAATACTGCTGATTTTCCCTGTGAGAAGTGCATCTCAGCACACAGAACCAAAACATTACATTTTGTATTCTGGGTCAGTAAAATACAACTTATTTCGGCCAAAGACAAACTCTAGTCATTCACATATATGCACAAGCTACAGCTTTACTAATCAAAATCAAGAGCCACAGTTATTTTTTTTGCATTGTGTATGTATAGAGATTTCAACATTTATTCTAGCCATGTCCCTTGTCAGGTTAATTGCGCACAAAAAGTACTAAATCAAATTCTTTGTTGTAGCTGCCTGTGAGAGCGCACTTCATGTAGCTGCATTATTGTCTACTTCCACTGGTAGTACATGTCAAGTTAGTCACCATCACGGTTATATCACGATTATCATTATCACTCATCATTATCATCACTAAACTGAAGTTGTTGCACAGTGCTTATCTAAATTTTGTTTTAGAATGCTATATACTTTACAAAATACTGGTAATGCATTGTCTTTCTATGCATTTTCATAATTGGGAATAAGAATGAATTACTGTAAAATGACTAATTTTCACTGGGTTTAAATTTCACTGATTTACCATTTCAGGCATATTCAGTGGGTTTTAAATTCACGGTTTTATCATTTAGATAATGTGTTCTATACTAAATTTCACATATTCACTGGGGTCAGCGAAATAAGCAAAATTAAAACCCAGTGAATAATTAACCCCTTTACAGTACTATACTAGTATCTTACCTATGAACCACGTCCAGTTGATGACAGTGCAGAATTCCAGAAACTAATTGTCTAAACAGTCTTCTTGACAGTTCTTCACCAATTCCACCGAGTCCATTCTTGAGGGATGTATTATTGATGAATTCTAACATGTCACCACTTGCGGCAAATTCCATAATAAGATATATTCTCAACTCGGTTCGAAAATATTCATATAACTGAATCTGAGAATAAGTTGTAGTCATTTATGTTATAAACATTATGATGGGAATGTACAATCTAAACATGCATATGAACATAAATTAGGACATAAACAAGGTATTTTCACCCCAAAATAAAAAATGTTGTTGTTCGTTGCTTTTGTTACAGTGCCTTTCATCAAGGCATGAATGTTTTTTCATGGAAATTTATAAAATATTTGAAAATATTTTCCCTGGAAGACCCTCGCATTTAATTTGAAATCAAATCCAAACAATCATGCTTTCCATGATAATACCTATGAGCTTTTGCGAGTTATCTTCAATCACGGCTATGTATTTAATAATGCATTGTAATTAGTCATTTAAAAGACATTTACAAATATTTTATATAAAAAAACATTCATGCCTTCATGGAATTCACTGTATTATCTGTTTTAACAGGGTTAAAACAATTTATGGGTATGTTACAGCAGATTTTGAGCAAGTGCAGATCACTAGAGACATCATTCACATGCTGGTTATAGTAAAAATGTAAACAAATGATGTTACAATGTGATGGCCTATTGGAGATGTGCTTCTAATAGAGCAAATAAGGTAAGTAAATACAAACTACATGTACATAGCAAGAGACATTTTTCAGTCAATAGTGGTGTTCACGTTGAAGATCTCGGCATGTGTGTGTTGGGAACGAGTTGACAAGTGCTGAAAAAAAACTTGATCTTGATCCTGGTGCCCGGGACAAAAACTCGGCATGTACCAAGATTTGCTGCTTGAATGCTCAGCACGAACCAAAATCATAACCTCAGTGGTAAATTTAAGAAAAAATAATTATTTTTTTAATTTTCTTTTGTCGTTCATGTGCACGATGTCTCGTAATAAATACCATAACTGCAAATGGCTATAATTTCAATATAGCAATTACTATTATCATCATACGAGTACAGTTTTCCATGTTTGGGTCAAATAACAGATAGAAGAATGAGGGCTTGATTTTGGCATGAGTCAAGTGGGTCCCAAGTCGAGTGGGTCCTGACTAATGTGAACACAACTGCTGTAATCCCTCTGAAAACACAAAGGATTACAAATTTCGGCATGTGCTGAGTTCCCATAAAGGGAACATAGCAAATGAATGTGATAATTCCTTTGTTTGTTTAAAACAAACAATAGAGGGCAGTGTAACATGATAGTTCCGCAGATTCCTATTGCAGATACAGCTTCGTGTTGAACATACGAAACTACTTGGCGCCAAACAATATTCTCAGTTTAATATCATTATATTTATACAACATATCAACCTTATTTCGTCTTTCAACTTACCAGGTTTTCGTGTCTATATGTTGTTTTTAAAGCTTCGATTTCTCTTGGCATAAATTTATTAATGTAGTCTGGAGGTGCGTCTTTTCGGCATATAATTTTGATGGCAACCTACAAAAAATAAATGAATGAAATTTTGCAGTTTTAAATATGTACGAACACAGTCATACGGAGAGTCAGAAATTCGTGTTATCGGGTACAAAAGCTCACCATGGAGTTTCCTTTTCTTGAAAGGTCGTTCGTCAGCTTTGCATTTCTCACTATCTTGGACTCTGAAGCATATGCTAGCTTCACTTTGGCGTAAGCACCGCTGCCCAACGTCTTGTCCGTCAATTCGTATCCATGGCGTCGACATTCTTCCACTTCAGTGCTGGCACAAGGGAAATACTTCTCCTCATAGGTGTACGTTTGCAGAGCCATCGCGATTTTATTCTCGTTTTATTCTCCGATACGAACTACTGATGCTTGAAATGCAGCCTATTCCAGGGTCGTCGGGTCACGAGAAACGCGGAAAAATGTCATTCTTGCAGAGAAACGGTCACTGTTTACGGTACGCGAAATCCGTCGTCTTCCGTTCTACCATTTCTGTACCATTGATGACGTAAATGTTCTATTTCACGTTCTTTGCAGGCAGAATCGCATTGACGCTGCAGTTCGGCGTCTTCTACACCGATCTGACGCTTATTCGAACGTTTCGAAGTCAATCGTCGATTGCCACGTATTTTACGGATACATGTATATTAAATCGTTTCAGAGACCTGTTTACTAAATAATGATAAATGAAACTTAGAAAACTTGTAAGAACAAACTGGGCCCAAATTGCGCAAATTGCAATAAGTTTACGCTACTAGAGTCTGGTTCGGATGGAGTTCTACGCGTGATTTTATTGCGCTCAAGGACGTTCTATTTTCGAACTAGTTGAAACCGGAAATAACGCAACTACTTTCGAACTTCAAACTCAAATTTGATTATCGTTATTATGTGTTAGTTTCTGTTGTTTCAAAGATTGAATTATGTATGACAATAATATTTCACTCTATAAACAATGTTTCACTAAAATGTGTGATTCAAAGGCAACCCAAATTGTAAAAAGCAATATCAAGTTCCGCGTATAAACACTGTTGTAAAGAGACGGCGGAGCGGAATTTTAGCCAAAATCAGCTAGTAAGGCGTCATATGACACAGAAGATAATATTTGGTAATCGTCGTCCTAAATAACTAATTACAAAAACATGAGATTTGACAGTTTAGCCAATCATCTATGAGTAAAGTTTTTGAATACGTAAAAACAAATCATGACCACAATATGCCCTGTGGTGGCGCCTATGTGTCTGTTCGTCTTGCACGTTTTCGAGAGAAGACTGTGTTGGATGTTAAAATATTGGACAAATACTTATAATGTGGTTGACAGTAATTCGCATGGCACATCGCGCAGTGCGTACGCCCATTCCTGGTAGACAGTGGTCAGGGTAAGAAAACGTTTCTGTCCGGGTTTTCTACTGAGACTGTTCATTCAGGGGCGAACCAATGTGTTTATTGAAGAACATGTGCGGGGATCTCGTAATAATGTGCTCCGCGAGCCTAGCCTAGTCTTCGAGTAAAATAGAAAGTGTTGTTGATTTTACGTTTGTCATATATGTCATTCAGGGATTTAGTTGTCCAAAATTTAGCGTCATGGGA